GTGGGGTGTGGGGGGGTCACCTGGAAATCCCATCCTGGCTCTGCCAGGGGCTCCTCTGGGTGGATGGGGATGACTTGATGACCTGAGGGGGAACCCATGGGTGGTTGGGTGTGAGTGCTAATGATTAATTAATGATTTTTTTAAGAATTAATTTGATTAATTAATTAATTCTATAGCTCAGGAGGATGTCCCCCGGTGGGTAGTGCACGGCTGGGCATTTTGGATGGGCCACCTCCCCAAAAGCAAAGGTCTGAGAAAGGGGCCATGGAGGTCGTTAGTAAACGAGGCGCTGGCGGTAACGAGCTTCGTTTTGGAGGCTGGAAAACACGGAGGGATCTGCTCGGTCACCCCCGGAGCCGCCCGTTTGCCCTCGCTCCTTAAAAGTCTTCTGGCTTTTCCAGCTCTTGGTCTTCAACTCCTGGGGGTGCTCCGGGAGACGTGATTAAGGGGAAATTTGGTTTGGAGCTTGAAAATTAAATGTTGTTTTTCTATGGGCTCGGGGGAGGCTGAGCTGGGCTCCACTCCCATGGGAATTAAGTGCTGGGAGAGGGATAACCACCGGGGAGTGGGATAACCACTGGGGAGTGGGATAACCACCGAGGAGTGGGATAACCACCGGGGAGAGGGATAAGCACCGGGGAGAGGGATGGGGGACGGGGCTGGAGGTGGCCGTGCTGCCCCAGACCTGCGCTTGGCCTTGACCCCTTCGTTATCCTCACGGATTCCAGGAAAAAAAATATATTTATGTCTGCTGGTGGCAAGAAGCTGAGTGCGGAGGGTGCCCCGGGTGGTGGGCTGTCACCGTGTGGGGTCACCCAGGCACCCCGTGACATCCCCAGGGACTCCGGTGTCACGGGGTTGTCCCACGGATGTGACTCCATCCGATGGGGGAGGTGGGAAGCGGTTCCTGAGGGATTCACCCTCCAGCCGAGCGCTGGATCCCGGTGTGTCCTCGTGGGGGACCCCCCCCTACAGGTCCCCCCCACCCCAAATCTTTCCCCCCCATCCCCCCTCCTCCTGGCCTTTTGTTTTTTCCTGCTCATTTTTCCTGCTCGTTACCGGGCCAAGCATCGGGCCGACACTGACATCAAGTGGCTGCCGGGATCCCTGGCATTCCCGGGCCGTATCCTGCCTCTCCCCGTGCTGGGAGCAGCCCAGCACCACCCTCACGGCCTCATCCTGCCCCGCCGAGGGCTTGGGGAGCCATCACCAGTGCTGCTGGACATCATTCCCTATGGATTCCCCGTCACCGGGATGCGGCCAGCCGCCATCCCCCATCCCCACCGCCTGTCCCCGGCCAGGCCATCCCCGTGTCCTCCTCCTGTCCCCAGCAGTCGATATCCCAGCGGGGTCGAGCCGAGCGCGGTGACGGCATCACCCAGCCGGGAGCATCGGCCGCATCCCTCACCCGTGGGGTGCAGGGACCACCCCCCCCCGCCATCCTCCCGGCCACGGCACCCCCCCATCCCGCCGCTCTACCCCGCCGGCGGCAAGGTGACGGTGACGGGCGAGCGGGGAGGCCGCGGTGGCCCTGCCACCGTCACCCCGGTGCTGGGGACACTCCGCCGGCGGCCGTGGACTTTGCACGGAGCGTAGGAGCGGCCGGCGGGGACAGCAGGTAACAGCGGGGTGACACCCCCCTGCTTTCAAGGGGGGGTTGCTCTGACACGGGTCTCCCTGCGGTGGGGGGGGGGACGGACGGGTCCCCCCACGGTGCTGCTGCCCAAGCGGTGGGTCTGGGGTCAGCTCCGGGAGGAAATCAGGGTGTTTCTCCCACTTTTACAGCAGGGGAAACTGAGGCACAGCAGCACACTGGCAGCACCATCCCGCTTTGGGGGGGATACAGGTTAGAAAACCCCCTTTTTCCTCCACACCACTGGGCTCAGGGACCCGGGGGAGTTTTGCAGCACCCCCATTCCCCTTCATCCCAGCCCCCTTGAACCCAGAGCCGAGCTGAGTCGAGGAAGCCCGAAGCCTGGGATGGGTTCCAGGGAGAGCAATGGCTCCGGCGGGATATCGGCTGCAGGTGGAGCTGGGGACTGGGATCAGGTGTGGGCACTCAGCCCCTCTGCAGGAACCCACCCAGGGGTGGGGAAGGAGGTGGAGGTGTTTGGGGGTTGGGCTGCAGTGATTTAGCTCCCAAGAGGCCCCAAGGTCTGGATACGTGCCCGGAAGGCTGAACTCTGCCATGTAATGAGGTGCGTCAGGTCTCTGCAGGTTTCTCCCCCTTGGGATTTCTGGGGGTGGGATCCCTCCTGGTGTCACGGAACCACGGTGCTGGGTGGGGTGTTGGGGGGTTTGGCACCGTGGTGCTGGGCACGGTTTGGGGAGGGCTCAGCCATGGGGCTGGTGGTTGTTTATCCCCCAAGTCCGGAAACTTCCCGCTGGGAAGGAAAGGGAGGGGAGAGCCAGGGCTGTTCCCAGCACCGCAGCGGGAGGGATGCTCCCGGCTGTGCCCGGAGACAGCCCGGGCCATCCCTGTGCTCCCAGTGGTCCTTGACCCCCACCATCACCCTGTCCTCCCCCATCCAGCTCCCTGATGGCTCCACAGTGACCGGGAAGGACCAGGGACCTGCTGGTGGCCCAGGACGCGACGTGACCAGACGGTGACAGGTCAGTGCTGCAGCTCTTGGCTTGGGGTTTGGGTGCTGCCACCCAGCACCTTTGGGTGTCATCACCCTGTCCTCCTGGGCGGCGTGGGGAGGGGATGTACGTGAGGAAACAAGTTCTTAGACCGAGAGAAGTGGCTTTTCCTGGGGATTTCCTGCCTGATGCAAGACGGGGCACGAGAAAAACATCAGCCTTGAGCCTGGGGCGCTATGGAAAGAGGTTGTCCTCACCTGAGGAGGGTCCTTGCTTTAGAACTGGGTTTGGCCCCTTGCTGGGTCTCTTTGGGTCCATCGGGGTGTCAGCTCTTGGGCAGGGGGAGAGACGCTGGTGGTTCCTGTGCAGGGAGAAGGTGTGAAGCTCAGGGGAGCAGCCAGAGGGGACACACGGGCAGCGCCTGCCCCAGCCCCCCCTGTCCCAGCGCGGGGGACGCATCCAGCGCCCATCCTGACTGCGCCGGCACCCGGCCAGGAGCTGGTGGCACCACCATGTCCCAGGCAGAAGGTATGGCTGAGCCCTCAGTCTCTCCTGGGGGAGGCGCAGGCTTTGCATGGGGACCCCAGAGCTGGTGTCACACTGCCCCCCTCCCCCCCACATCCTCACCAGTCTCCATCCCATCCTGTTTAATGGCCTCATTTTGCTTGGATTTTTAATCCTAAAAGCATCTTTCCCCCCAAACCCTGATTTGCAGGGAGCTGGCCTGCTCCAGGAGCTCTGGTGGTGGCAACCCCTGTCCCCATGTCCCCTCCCAAGTCCCATCTGCACCATAGTGGGGGGTCGTTGGACCTGGATGGAGCTGGGGGGGTTGCAGAAGGTATGGCTGAGCCCTCAGTCTCTCCTGGGGGAGGCGCAGGCTTTGCATGGGGACCCCAGAGCTGGTGTCACACTGCCCCCCTCCCCCCCACATCCTCACCAGTCTCCATCCCATCCTGTTTAATGGCCTCATTTTGCTTGGATTTTTAATCCTAAAAGCATCTTTCCCCCCAAACCCTGATTTGCAGGGAGCTGGCCTGCTCCAGGAGCTCTGGTGGTGGCAACCCCTGTCCCCATGTCCCCTCCCAAGTCCCATCTGCACCATAGTGGGGGGTCGTTGGACCTGGATGGAGCTGGGGGGGGTTGGGGAGGGCCCAGTGATAAGCACTGGAGGGGAAGCACAGGTCCCCAAAGCAGGGACCCATGCATGGACCATCCCGCTCCATCCCTCCCAGGAGGTGAGGAGACCTTTGAATACTGCGATGTGGTCGTCAACAGCCAGGAGAAGGTTTCGGACGCGTACACGCAGCTGGAGAAGTTGGGAGAGTGAGTGGGGGGTCCCACGTCCCCATCGTTTGGGGATGGTCCATGGCTGTCCACGCGCAGCCACGGGTGGGATGCAGGGGGGTGGTGGTGGCTCTTCCATCCCTCACCCTCTCTCCGTCCCAGGGGAAAATTCGGGACGGTGTACCGGCTGCAGGAAAAAGCCACGGGCAAAATCCGGGCTGGGAAATACTTCCGGACACGGACGGCTAAAGAGAAGCAGGTGGCTCGGGCTGAGGTGGAGCTGATGAACCTCCTGCATCACCCGCGCCTCGTGCAGTGCCTCGCCGCCTTCCAGGGCCCCACCGAGCTGGTGATGGTGATGGAGTAGTGAGTCGGGGGGGACAGAGTCCAGTTTGGGGGTGGTGGGGACAGTGTTGGACTCTGTCAGGGACAGCATTGAAGGTGGGGAGGGGTGTCTGCACTGTGGGATGCTGGCATGGGGTGTAGGATGGATGGAGAGCCTGCAGAACCTGGAGGTATGGGTGCTGGGATGCTCTCAGAGTGTTGGGTTCCCTGGTGGGGCTCCTCCTGTGGGCTGGTAGACCTCAAAAGGGTCCCCAACCCTTGTCCTCCTCCAGTGTGGCAGGTGGGGAGGGCTTCCTGCACCATGGGGTGCTGGCATAGGGTGTAGGGTGGATAGAGAACCTGAAGAGCCTGGAGATACAGGTGGTGAGATGCTCACAGAGTGCTGAGTCTAGGTTCCCTGGTGGGGCTTCTCCTCCTTGGGGTTGGTAGACCCCAGCAGGGTCCCCAGCACCTTGTCCTCCCCCAGTGTGGCAGGTGGGGAGCTCTTTGAGCGCATTGTGGATGATGACTTTGAGCACACGGAGCCCAGCAGCACCCAGTACATGCGGCAGATCCTGGAGGGGCTGCAGTTCATGCATGGCCAGGCTGTTGTCCACCTTGACCTCAAACCCGAGAACATTGTCTGTGTCAGCCCCAGCAGCCACTGGCTCAAGATCATCGATTTTGGCTTGGCACGGAAGCTGGGTGAGCGAGGAGGGGGGTCCTGGGGTACCAGGGCAGGGATTGTCACCGTCACAGGGACACGATCTGGCTGGGCATGTCAGTGATGAGCTTGGCATCCTCCTGCCCATGCTGTTGGGACGGGCAGCCCTGTGGCACCAGATCAAGGCCCTTCTTGGTGACTGGAAGATGCTCTGGGGAAACCTGCATGTCCCCAGCCCTGTATCTGAGGTGGGAACCCCCAAGACCTCCACCCTGAGCGTGCCTGGCACCCCAACATACTCTAGGAGATCACCAAGAGCTCTGATGAGTCCTGGAGGGGGGCAGCTCCACTTGGATGCATGGGTTCACTCATCCAGCATGAATTGGAGTGCTGCTGGGATAACCCAGGGAGATCCCAGTTGGACACTTGCCCCATGGTTTCCATCTTCTCCACAGCTCCAGACACCCCTGTGAAGGTGTTGCATGGCACCCCTGAGTTCATGGCTCCAGAAGTGGTTGCCTTTGAGCCCGTGGACTTCTCTACAGACATGTGGAGCGTTGGTGTCATCTGCTACATCCTGTGAGTGGCCTCCTGGGGACAGCAGGTTGGGCTGGAGGGGGCTGAGCTGTCACTCATGTCCTTGTGTCACCTCTCCAGGCTGAGCGGGGAGTCACCCTTCCAGGGCGACAGCGACATGGAGACACTGAGTAACATCACAGCTGCCCGGTGGGAATTCGAGGAGGAGACCTTCTCAGAGATCTCCCAGCAAGCCAAGGACTTCATCAGCCAACTGCTGCAGAAGGACCCCCGGTAGGACCCTGGGGGGTGGCTGTGGGGTGCCGAGCTGGGGTTTGGGGTGCCAATGAGGTGGGCAATGAATGGGGTTGGCAGAGGGGATGCTCCATGGGGCTGTGCTAGCAGATGAGGGTCTGATGGTGGAGTAGCACCCCCATGACCACCCCGTCTGCCCCCAGGCGCCGTCTCTCCAGCGCGGGGTCTCTGCTGCACCCCTGGCTGCAGCAGCCCCAGCCCAGCAGCACCAAGGCCCTGTCGAAGGAGAAGATCAAGCAGTTCCTGACTCGTCGCAAGTGGCAGGTACCTGGGGGAGGATGATGAGGACGTGGGGATGGGGATGGCTCCGGTGGGGCTCAGCGCTCCTTCTCTTCTCTCCAGAAAACAGGCAAAGCTCTGCTGGCCCTCAACAGGTTGACCCTGCTGTCCCAGAGCCCGGAGAGGAAAGCGTCAGAGGCTCAGGATGAGGAAGGTGATGGCCCCTGAAGTTTCATCCCCCAACACACCCCATCAACCCATTCTCTCTGCTCTGCCATCCCCAACTCGTGCTCCTGGGCAGCTTCCCACACCTTGGCTCCAACCTGTCCTGGTGCCACTAAACACCCAGGCATGTCCCCATTGCTCCAGCTTCAGTGCCCCAAGGTCCTCTCCATCCCCAGCCCCGAGAGGAAATCTTTGATGCAGCCTTGGAATGGGCATATCCTGCTCTGTGGGGCCGAGAGCTGTGTGTGACCCACATCTCGGGGATCCAGAGCTGATCCCCCAGGACCTGGCCCACTGGAACCACACATGTTCCTCCAGCAGAGGAGGGAGGTGGAACTCCACCAGCTCCTCAGCCTTCCCTCTGTCCCTCTGCCCACAGACCTGGGCTGCAGCCCGGAGGAGGACCAAGCCTCGGGGTCTCTGCTCCAACGAGGACCCAGCTTCTCAGAGCCACTGACAAGCCCAGAGGAGGAGGAAGGTGGGAACACAACAGCCACAGGGGAGGCAGAGAGCAGTGTCAGCGTGCCAATGCCACCCCAGACCACCTAGAGCTGCTGAAGAGGGAGGAGCAGGGAGAGATGGTGATGAAACCTCCTCCAGCAGCTCACGTGGTGGCAGGGTAGACCCAAACCCCAGGGCTCCTCTCCTGTCAGTGGGCTCTGGTGTCCCACGGTGTCCCATGTCCCAGCAGGAACCAGTGCTCCTGTCTACATCGTCACCTGGTGTAGAGCAATAAAGTGCTGAGAATCTCTGCACTCCCTGTGCCACTCCTTTTTTCCCCCAAAACTTGCTGGGAGGGGTGGGAAAGAGCTGCCCAAGCTGTGTCCAGCCTTTTGTAGCTGGCACCAGGCTCGGCCATCACCCTTGTCATCTCCACCTGGGACTGAGTGGCAGCTCTAGCAGCAGCCCTGGTGACCCTTGTTTTGAAGTTTCTTCCCTCATCATCAAAGAGGGGGGGCTTGTGTCATGTTCTGACCCCACAAGCAGGGTCAGCCTCACAAGGGTGAGCCCTGGGGCCTCTGATCGCTCCCTTTCTGGGCCAACTCTGGTGCCAGTGGGGCTAGAATGAGCCCAGAAACTGCAGCGTGACCTCTAACCTCCTCCTAAGGAGACAGCTTGGGCAGAAATGGGGGTTTGGGAGCCCTTCTCCTTCAACAAGAAGTGCATATACTGGTTCCTGGGGTTGTTCTTCCCCAGTATGTGCTGGGAGATGCCCAGCTGGGAAACAGCTTGGCAGAAATGGACCTGGGGGTCCATCAGGTTGACCATGCTCCAGCGATGTGCTCTTGCTGCAAAGAAGGTGAATGGTGTCTTGGGCTGCATTAGACAATGTATGACCAGCAGGTGGAGAGAGATGATCCTTCCCTTCACTCAGTCCTCCAGGTGTGGCCTCACCAGCGCTGTGTCATGTTCTGGGCTCCCCAGTACAAGAGAGATGTGGAGAAACTGGAGAGAATTCAGCACAGGATGGTGAAGGGTCTGGAGCATGTTACCTATAAGGGAAAGCTGAGGGAGCTGGGACTGTTTAGCCTGAAGAAGAAAAGGTTTGGGGGGGATCTCATCAATGTATGAGGCCTGTGTGACCCTCATGAAGTTCAAACAGGCCAAATGCAATGTCCTGCTCCTGGGTTGATGCTGAATGGATCATCCATTCTCCCCACAAATCCAGGCTGGGGGGAGAAGGGACTGAGAGCAGCCCTGAGGAGAAGGCCTTGGGGGTGTTGGTGGGTGAGAAGCTCCACACGCCCCTCAACGTGCGCTGGAGCCCAGAAACCCCCCGCACCCTGGGCTGCATCCCCAGCCCCGTGGGCAGCAGGGCCGGGGGGGATTCTGCCCCTCTGCTCCGCTCTGGGGAGACCCCCCCAGTGCTGCCTCCAGCTCTGGGGCCACCACCAGCAGAAGGACATGGAGCTGTTGGAGCGGGGCCAGAGGAGGCCCCGGAGATGCTGGGAGGGCTGGAGCCCCTCTGCTGGGAGGGGGGGCTGAGAGAGTTGGGGGGTTCAGCCTGGAGAAGAGAAGGCTCTGGGGAGACCTTGGAGCCCCTTCCAGTCCCTCAAGGGGCTCCAGGAGAGATGGGGAGGGACTCTGGATGAGGGAGGGGAGCCCTAGGAGGAGGGGGAAGGGTTTGACCCTGCAAGAGGGGAGATGGAGCTGAGCTGTGGGGAAGAACTTGTTTGGTGTGAGGGTGGTGAGAGCCTGGCCCAGGTTGGCCAGAGAAGCTGTGGCTGCCCCATCCCTGGAGGGGTTCAAGGGCAGGTTGGAGGGGGCTTGGAGCAACCTGGGCTGGTGGGAGGTGTCCCTGCCCAGGGCAGGGGATGGCACTGGGGGGGCTTTAGGGTCCCTTCCAACCCAAACCATTCTGTGATTCTATGAAACGCCTGAAGGTTGCAGAAAGGATGGAAACAGGCTCTTCTCAGTGGTGCTCAGTGGCAGGACCAGAGGCCATGGCCACTGACTGAAACACAGGAGGATCCAACTGAACCTCTGGAAAAACTCTTTGCTGGTGATTGCCCAGTGAGGTTGCATGATCTCCATTCTTGGGTATAACAAGAAACTGTCTAGGGGTAGTCCTGGGCAACCTGTGCTGGAGCAGGGACACGGACCAGGTAGTCTCCAGAGGTTCCTTCCAACCTCAACCATCCTGTGATTCTGTCAGAACCTACCTCCTGTTGAAGCTGGGCTGGGGGCTGCTCTCCCAGCACATGCTGGAGCTGAAGGGCTGGTGAAGGTGCCCTGGTCGGGTCAGCGTGGTCCGGCTCTGTGCCTCGGTGTGTCTGTGCTATTTGACACAGGACTGAGGCACAGCTTCAGCCCTTCTTCCTCTTCTTCCTCCTCCCCTGCTGGGTGAGGCCACCAGGGGGTAGGAGGAAAGTGTTGTTTTTATTAAACAGAACTGAATCCGCCCACTCTCGCAGCCACCGCGGGGCCAGACGGCTGAGAGCTCTGGCTGGGATCACCCATGGGACGTGTGGGACACCAGCCATCGGAGCTGCTGCTGGAGTAGTGGTGACAAACCCCCTTTTGGATAGCTTGCTGAACCCTCTCAGAAGCTGATGGCCACCACGGCAGGAGGTTTCCGTATCAGGATCTGGCATCCTGCTGCCTCTGGAGACGGAGAAAGCAGCCAGAGCGCCTGCGGTCCCTTGGCTGGGGGACTTCATGGCTCTTATCTGCTCTTCCCCGGGGCTAACGAGGGGGGATGCTGTCACCTTCCTGTCCCGTTCTTGTGGCATCCCCTCTCCAGCTGACAAGGGTTTATCAGCACTGAGGCCTGACTTGAATTCTTGTGGCAAAATCCTGTTCCTGTTAATGACGTCCATGGCTGGTGGCTGCTTCTGGGTCCATCTCACCACGGGAAGCAGGAGCCTGCTGCGGTGTGGCAGAGGGGTGACATGCTCTGCCCAGGGCTCGGTGGTCTCTTCTTGTGCTGGAAACAGTAGATGCAACTTAAGAAGGAGCTTAATTTGGAAGCTGGTGCCCAGACAACCCTTTGAGAGACCCCTCCAACAATGGTGAGGCCACCTTGATGCTTTCATTGCTTGGGATGCTGTAGATCATTCCTCACAGGGTTTGACCATGGCTCTTTAACGGTCTGGTGAGACATCTCCTGAGAGAGCTCACACTCTTCCTGTTCCTCCCATGTTTTCAGCGGGAGAAGTGGGTTCACTGCTCTGAGTTGGAGGAGAAGCTCCTTAGAAACAAATAAACAAACACAAGTATTCCATACTCATTCCTTGGCATTTGCTTTCCCTTCCAGAGTAACAGAGGGACGCTGAAGATCTCCTCTGCTGCTCTTCTCTGGGTGTTCACACACATCGTATCCTAATTTCTATCCGTTATTTATTCCGTGTTTTCCTCGTTACACAGGCTCTGAACTCCCAGGCGTCCCCTGGGAACCCAGCCGAATGCCTTCAAGCTGCAGATGATAAGCAAACACCAAGTTACGTATAATCAATCCCTTGATGAGCTATTTACCATGTGACATTACCAAAATATTTCTGGTCGGGAACTATGTTTATCTTCCTCTGTTTTCCAAACTACTCCCAGCCCTGAAAATCCATGTCCCAGGACTCCAGACATGAGCTTTCTCTCTATGATCCCGTGGTTTACTCCGTGAAAATTGATTTACCTCCAGAAGGAGATGATTTACCTCCAGAAGGCCCACGTTTCTTCTCCTTCCACTGCTTCCCATGGCTTAACGCATTGAAATGTGCACTTGAGAAAGCGATGGGCTAAATGGAGAGTGGAGTTAAACCTGGAACTCATTACAGCCACCGAGAAATTCAGCGGCACCGAAAATAGAAATCCAATCTCAGCACCTCGGAGACAAAGGAATTAAGATCTTCATCCTTCCATCAAGAAGGACTCTTGGGTTGACCTTCACTTCAGCCGCACGACTTCAGAGAAGGTCTTCCAAGCAGAAATCCTCCATTGAGGCGGAGAGGGAGAGCGATGCCCTTGGGGAACCTTGACAAATGGTTCCCTCCTTGTCTCAGGTGCCCCCGTGTCCAGCTCCACGGAGGTACCTGAGGTGGGGTCCAAATACCCCCCAGCTCCTGGATATTAACCCTTCAGTGACAAGTTATCTTGATAATCTTGGGTTTATTTTGGGCTGGACAATCTAGGTCTAGAAATGCTTTTTGGGGTGAGGATATATTACCTGGGGAGCTCTAGCAACAAGAAATAGTATTTTTTTTGTGGACCTGCAAGTTCAAGTGAAAAGAAACCAGGAGAGCACAATGTCCTGCTTGAGTGTTTTCCAGTGTGTTTAAATCAATTAAGAAAACAAACCTAAGTCTGAAGTCAACCTTAATGTAAAAAAAAGAAAACAAAAAAACCCATATATGTATAAATTAGCTCTGAGCACATACTGAAGACGACGATTTGAACACGTCATTTCTAGAATGCTTTTTAAAGGATGATTATAGCAGGGAGTGAACAGCCACCACGTAATTTGAATTGTCAGATAAAAGCCCTCACGTATCGTGGGTCAAGCACCAGAAAAGTGGTGCTTCTCAAGCACCAGAGAAGACAACGAGAGTACAAGGACTTGGTAGCGACAGATGAAAGGCAGCTAAATGAAGACGGAAGCTGTAGGTGATGAAGGACCATCAGTAACACCCGAGTTGTGATGCACCCAGCTCTCAGCAAAGCTCCCTGAGGAAAGTGGAGTGTCCTCACCTCCCAAAGGGGATGGCCGGGTCCTGGCCAGGCTCGGGGAGGAGGTCAGGAGGCTCCTTGTCGTCACTGGAGCTCAAGAACCATCACCCCAAGGTGAAGCGCCCAGGAGAGGCTATGCAGGGCTGGCCCAAGAGAAGAGCAGGGTCCAACCAAGATGCTCTGGTTGGTCTACCACCTCTAGAGGCATCTCAGTCTGTGGGGTTGAGATGAGGGGTGAGCGGGATGCTCCCCCAAACTCATCCTCCTGGTACTGCTGGTGCAAGGACCACCCTGTCCACCCTGCACCAAGGACCTCCAGCACTGAAAACCAGGAGGTCCAACAGAAACCCCAGGGCTGAGGTCCCTCTTTGCAGCTCAGTGCCACGTCTGTGGGGATCAGCCCAACCCCAAATCTCTTGTGAAACATCTTCCCGTGCACAAAGGGCCACAAACCCTGTCCTTCCTGGTGCACGGCCCCCATTTCATGCCCAGCTTTAATGGCCTTTATCCCGCCATTGCAGCCCTTGCCATGGCCAGGAGATGGTACCATT